AAAGGGCGGCAGCAGAAGATACATTACTGTTAAAGCTGCAGTTAGTTCACAAGCAAGTGACCGTTGTATGGAATGGAACACGCCAAATTAAAAATTACTTTAGATTATAGAAAACAATGTATAAGTAGATATGCTATGTGCAATGAAGTGGCAAATGTCAATGGAACAAATGGAATGGAACATACCAAATTATAGAAACTATGGACTAAATGTTTAGAAGACTTACTTGCCAATAATAGAGTCAATACATATTAAAATTAGTGTTACATTTAAAAGAAACAAATGGAATGGAACACATCAAATGGAAGAAAACTATCGACTACATATGTAGAAGACTACTTGTCAATAATAGAGTCAATATATATTAAAATTAGTGTTAAATTTAAAAGAAACAAATGGAATGGAACATGCCGTTTTGGTAAAAAATATACATTTTGAAAAATATATGTCTACAATACAATCTAAATATCAAATTAACAGTTAAATTGAAAAGAAACAAATGGAATGGAACACAAGAACTTGAAGTCAAGATAGCTCATCAGATATGTAATTAAATTATAATATATGATAGTAAAAACAAAAATGGAAAAGTAAAGCTCTTATTATAACTATTTTTCACATATTTTTAATAGAGTTTTATACGTGATATATGACGAAAATTGCCTTTTTTAAAGTAATTCATTCGACGTTTTTTTATTTGCATTGACAGCAAACTAATTTCCAACAAATTTAAAACAAATAGCGTAAAAAAGAGTGGGAGAGAGACAGAGTAAAACATTCGAAAATAAAAACTTTGTTTAACTAAATTGCAAATTGGAAAAAGTAAGAAAGTTGAGAGTTGAAACTAAAGTAAAATTGCATTAGCTATGGAAATCCAAAGCAAAAGGTAATAATAATAAAATACAATATATAAAAAAAGAGAAACAACATTGATACAGCTGCGACTGAAAGACATGTTGAAAGGGTTGCATGTGAAGAGAAAGAAGAAGAGAAGCAACATAATTATAGACGCTATTGTTGAATGGGTTCAACTGGGCCGTTGAGAGGCGCTGAATGTCATGTCTGCGGTTGCCTGGCGACCGGGACAGTGTCTACTTTTCGCACCTGCAATCGATTATAATCGTGTCCCTCGCCCCACAGCCTTAACTAGAGCTGACCGCACACGCGCGCGCGCTCTCCTTTGGGGTCGCTTAGCTAATGCAACGCTTTGCACCGATGCCGGGCCAATATAAATGCGAAATGTAATTATTTTTAGCACATGCAACGACCCGGCACGGGGCACGCGTTGCGCATGTTTGTTGACAATTAATGAAAGTTGCTGTTATTGCTGCTGCTGCTGCTGTTGTTGCGGTTGCTGGGCGCACCCAAAAAGCGTTGCTAGCGCTGTGAGCTGCACTTTATGCATTAATTTCCGCATAACTTGAACACAGGCGCAACTCAGCTGCAAACAGATACAAACAACACACACACATATATATACATATTATACATGTTTATATGTGTGTGTGTCTGGCTTTTATCGGCCGACCCCCAGCACAATACTGACCAATTGCATAAAAATTCTTGCACGGCAAACTGTAAATTAAATGAACGCATCCGCTCTTGGGTCAAATCCCCAACCCGTTGACACAATGTGCAGCCAATCGAGCATTGGAAAACTCATCTCGCCCCACCTTCCATTCTTCTCCATCCCTATTTGGTAGCTAGACGCCTTCAGCTCGCCTCAACTGCACCACAGTCGAGAAACGGATCGCACTTTGATGTTGTTTTTAGTGGCTTCTCTCTCCGTCAGTCGCTGTCTCTCTTCCTCCCTCTGTCAGCGTTGCTGCTGTCAACGGCACCGTTAATAAACCGCAAATTATGCTGGCTTCTTCTTCTTTATCTTCTTTCCCTGACTCGACATCTCTGTCTTTTATTTTATTGCATTTGGCAATTGTAAGCAAGTTGCAGACCTTTGGCTCGCACAAAAAGGTCTTCTCAGTGTCATGCATCTCTTGACTTTTCTTGGCTATATACAATATAAATATATACAATATATATCTACATATCTATATATCATCATCATCATCATCATTAGCTGCTAAGAAATGCTTGCTAATTACTACACAAGTGTTCCATTTCCAATTGGTTTCATGCTGCCTTTCCGCTGGGCAGCATTGTCATAAACTTCGCAACAAATTGGCATCACTTTTTCGTTATGACAATTTAATGGAGATCATTTACCAAATTGTTAAAGAGCATTACTATAACAGAAATATTTCTATGTCAAATAAAGGCCTAAAAGATATATATAAATATATATATGTTTAGCTTGAAGACTTGTCAATTTTATATAATTTTATTTTATATAAAGTTAAATGTAAAAATCTTTCTATTTGCCATATTAAAAGGCTACTATATCTTTTATATAGAGCCATTTACACAAGAATATAAAGCTCCTAGCTGGTCCATCAATCAAGCATGCAAATGTTTAGCTTTGCGTTGCAAGAAATCTTTTTGGCTTCACTAGAGCAATAAATTGTTATAGCTGGCAGTTAATCAGGTATGCATTACATGGAGTTCTACGTAGACAGAGCTCGTGAAATTTAAAGCACAGTTACTTTAGCTTTAATCAAATGATACGACATCGGTCCCTAGGCAAACAACAGTTGAATGCTATCGAAGCATGCCCCATCGTCGCGACTCAATGCAATTCGTGGCCAGACAAAGGAGCAACGCATAATTCCAGTGTCACCAAGGCAAGTGGATGCCCCTTGCCGCTTCCCCTTGCCCTCCCCCTTCTCCTTCGCTTCGTCTTTTGTCGCGCGAAACATAAAACTGAGTGAAACGCGGTAAATGTGGCCCACAACAGCCGTGGAATGTCGCCGCGTCATTTGCATTCTTGGCATATAAGAAAAAAAACTGAAAAAGTTGGCAACACTCAACGTCCGACCAATTGAGTTGCCCCTGCAACGTGCCCCGTCGCAATTGTAGTTGTAGTTTTTTCGGTGTTTTTGGCATGTTTCATTGGCAGGCGCGCTTAAAATATGCAGCGAAAGACGCGCAGCAGGTGGAAGGCCAGCTCTGTGGGTGGGGTAGGAGGAGGCGGGCAAGTAACAGGAGCTGTGCGAGGCGTGCGGCAAACACTTGATAAAAAATGGCAGCGCTAGAGGTTGCCAACGCGTGGCAATTGTCGTGGCATGTTGCTGCTCCTTGAAACGCAGACAGACAGCCGGCGCTGCAAGTTCTCGATTGCGAAAATTGCAAACATTTTCAATTTTTGTTTAAAGTGAAAGAGGCTCAAGGCTCAAATTCAGTTCATTCATATAACACCAAAGTATTTTTCGAAAAATACGATCAGATTTTAATAAAAACTATTTACTTTTTACACAGGCCAACAGAAATTACTAAGAGTCGAGTTCTATGCAAGTTTTTTGATTTAGTGAAAATTAATAAGAATAAATTCAGCATTTTGAGATAATAAAAGAATATAAAAAATATTATTTTGTGCAGATGTAAGACATTTTATAGTCAAAAATAGAGTTACTGTATCTGAGAGTGCCTCTTCTCATATACAAAACTTTTTTAAAATTTATAAAATACATTTTTCTGCAGTCTAACTATACTTTTTTAGTAATTCCAAATTTCTATAAAGTTAAATTTGCAACTGTTTGGTAATTGAGACAAAAGCTTTGAGCGTTTTCGTTGTTGAGAACATGCAGGACCTGCTAAATGCCGCCGCCAGGGGTCGCCACCCGCTTCAATTGTGCGCGCTTTCGATAAACTACTTGCAGGCACACAAACATATATATGTATGTGTGTGTGTGTGTTTATTTATATAGATGTATGTACATATGTATATAGAATTATATTTATAAGTCCGGTAACCAGTTGTACAACTGCTGCAGCCGTCATTTACGCTTGCCTTTCCTCGGTTCTGTTCTATTTCATTTCGTTTTGTTTTGCTTTGTTTTTTTTTTTGGCGCAGTAAATTTGTTGTGAATTTATTTTTGGCAAACTTTTGGCCTATTGGGAAAATGAAGGCAGCAGCCAGAAGGCAGCACTACTCTTTGGCTATTTGACTATTTGGCTGTTTGGCAAACGGGTTCGCATCGCCGTAACTTATATTGTTGGGGGTCCTCGTCGTTATGCGGTCTCCCAACTAACCTTCATCTGTCTGCCCACTGGGCCGTATCTTGACCTTTTTCCCTGCCATGATATTTGGTCTTGTGTCCCTTTTTGTCTTCCATTTACCAAACAAAATTCACATAAAATTGGATTCGCTGCTGCATTATTATCTACTCGGACAGTTTATTTATATAAATTTATAAAAAAAAAATGAAAAATTGATTGTTTTCTTTATTTGTTTAACGTGTAAGCGATAAGGTGCGACTATATATATAGATATAATATATATATTTATTTAATTGGGCAACTGTTTGCTTTAGCTGTTACAAGAATCAGATGAGTCAGATGACTCCAGTTAAATATTATCTTGAATAAGTTTCTTAAAAGTTCAAACTTTGGTAAACAAGCCAATCAAATCATTCCATTTCTCATCCATCCCATCCCATTCCATTCCATTTCAGCAGTTATTTACCAACAAATTGCCCAACTTAATGCTAATTTCGTTGATCAAAAAAAGTCCATAATTTTTTATTACTCATGTGGCAAACTTTAACTCAAATAATGTATGAATTTACAAGAATACGACTGACATCCATATTCTAACTGGTAATAATTGATAAAGCCAAATACAACAAGGCGGAAACGTGAAACTGACGTCATAAGCGACGCGAATTTTTGTTTATCGGGCTCTATGATTAAGCACAAAGGTAAACATGAGTATATGAACATATATATAGACTGTCTAGGCTAACGGAGAGGCAAATATTTCGACCTTGTCTCAAGTATTTTCTTAATTCTCAGTTAAAAGTGACGCGTTTTTTTGTACTTGTAAATTGCTGGCAAGTTAAATAAAATAATATGCATTTTATAAAAATATGATTTTTTATATTTACATGTGTGACAGCTATTTGTTTAAATTATCACTTTGCTCCCTTTTCGCTTAGCCTTTCTTTTTTAGCTTCTCGACTTTTTGTATAATCTGCACGAATTTTGATATTTTTTATTATTATTGTGTTGATTGATAAGAGACGTCTTATCAGTTCACTTTCTAGAGCGAAATTCACTTAAATAAGCACGTTTGCTTTACAATTGTTTATACAATTTAGTTTCACTCTTTTTGCACTAATTCCTTTATGATTTTTTTTGACACTTTTGTTGTTGTTGCTGCTGCTTTTCAAAAAATACTATAAATATCTAGAACCGGGCGCCGGGCTCATTAATTCTTTTGTTGTTTTATTTTTATATATTTTTTGGCACTCACGCCGAGAATATACGAAAACCTTTCGAGCGCGCACAAAAATAAATCGAAATTTAATTTCTTTCTTTTTTTTGCCGCACGACGCCGACGAAATTCGTCCGTTACGTTGACATTTTGTTTTGGATTCTCGACTGTTAATGCGCGATGAGCAACAACAAGTGTTTCGGGTGTATAAGATATAACAGCGTATGCCAATGTTATGGCTAATTTAATGTAAACGAGCTGTTTACTTGATGTTGTACTCAAATTGATCTGTTAACGCGCTGTTGTGCTCAAACTGCGCTGTTAAGATTATGTTAAAAATGCACTAAGAGCACGGTTTACGCTCTTTGCTGCCAACAGCTTTAACAAGAGTACTTTTTTGTGCTCTTTAGCGACAGCTGACTTTAACGCTCACAACAAGTGTCTTTGATTATTAAGAGAAGAAGGATAACTGAAACTGAAGAGTAATTTTGAATATTGAAGCTCAAAAAGATAATTTAAAGAAATTAAAATAAACTGATAAAGTAAATAAAATTTAAGAAAATTAAGCAACTCAGCTTAAGTAGAAACAAGTCAGGACAATCCCTCCGGCTAGGCAGGCAGAGCACAAGAGCTCGGAACGTTTGGAATTGAAATACGTGCATAAGTGAAGCCATTTGCATGCAGACGCCATAAACTGCAAGTGCTGGTCACATTTGCGTTGCTTCGGCACTTCGATTAGTTGGCCATTGTGTGTTGGACGAAAGAACAACAAGTTAGCCAGAAGCTGGTCGAACAGAGGTGGAGATGAATATGGAGATGTGGATGGAAACGGTCATTGTTGCCACTCGGCGTTGCCTTTGTTCGTCGCTTATAACCTCAAAGCAGACGCCATAAATCAAAGTACAAATTTGCACTTCAAGTACGTTTTCAATAAGTTTTAGCACTCAGGCTCATTGTTGCTGTTGCTTTTGTTGTTGGTGTTTGTGATGCTCACATAAATCATAATTTAAAAGCTTGGCAAATGCACAGCACTAAAGTTTAACAACAACTTAATGAAGTAGAACAAACAACAACTTTGCAATTTTGCATAATGAATCCAAAGAGCACGCAAAGAGAGCTAAAGAGAGAGAGAGAGAGAGTGAGCGAGCGATAGATACTACGGATCAAACGATGACTAAAGTTCAAGCAATAGAAAAAAATCGAAAGTGTCAACAACACAATGGCGTAATCACAATGAGAGACGAACCAGTTCGCAACGGTACATTGTCAGCAGCGAATTAAAACTTTGATAAGCTTAAGTTGCCAAAAGCTTTATCAGCATTCTGCGAGCAGCTTAATCACATTTCATCGTTGTTCGGCAACGTGAACTGTCTTATTATGATAACGGCAAACAGGCAGAAAGTCTGCAGCTGAGAGAAAAAGGGAGACGTATAGAGGAAGAACGTAGGAGTGCGCGCTAAAATCTAAGCCACCTTATCTTATCAGCTGGTAGAAAGCAAAGTGAGAGAGAGGGAGGGAGAGAGAGAGAGAGAGAGAGAGAGAGAGAGAGAGAGAGAGAGAGAGAGAGAGGGAGGGAGGGAATGCAAGCAATAGAACGTTTGATCGCTACCCCTATTAATGTCAACATATGCAGGCGCAACTAATTCTTATTTTGATACTCTATTATTATCAATTGAGTATATTAGTTTCGTGCTAGGACCACGTTCAGTTAAAGGAAAGCAACTCGAAATACTTAGTCATGTGCATATATCTAACTTATATATCCTTAATATGCCATAGTTTAAGTCTCAAATATTGTCAAAATCAGCTGCAACTCTATAAAATATAAGAAACCAATCTTATTTGAAATATTATATGTTACGCAGCCCGTTATACCCGACTCACTCTCAAACAATTAAGGAGCTCACCCATAGTATCTACACACACACACAGGCAGACACACATATATACTTGACCGACTTGCGATTGTGATTGTACGACACTTGAGAATGATTCATATGAAGCATCTGCGCAAATTGAATCGCAAATATTGAATTATTTTTGAGGAATTTCTTGGCATTTAATTAAATTGCTGGGAACGGAAGTTGCAATTAAATCATCAAGTAAAAATATGAAGATGCAGTGGCGCAAAGTTCACACAAGAGAAAAATATATATTTACAATTATTCTTAAAGGTGTTTTGATAATAGAAAGCGTAGTCGAACTTGAGAAGTTGTCTATGTTTATATAAAATGAAATACTAAATGAAAATTCCATTGAAAGAGATATTTCTATAAATATTTACATATATGAAGCATCAACTTATAAACGTTTATTCTGAGACCTCTAAAATTACAGAGCATACTTTTAGGCTAAACAAATATGTTTACAGGCGGCAGAGATGCTCATTTAGCTTTTTTAAATGCAGAGCTGGCTTACATTTTGGTTAAAAACTTTTTATATTTGATTTTTATCTACAAACTTACATAAAGGGAAAGATAAATATATCTAGATTAATCAGTTCGCTAGAAGTACAGCCATAAGGTAATTAATTATATTCCACATTCCACATATTTCTCTCCGTATTTTATTGCCGTGCGGGCATATCAAAGGCAAACAAAAATATTCAAAGCACGAGACAAATATGTGGAAAAAAGAGGGTTGGACAGACCGCAAGCCAAAAGAGAAAGAGAGAGAGAAAGACAGAAAAAAAAAAGAAACTTAACCCGAAATCTGAACTCGACTAATTGCCAAAAAATTAAAATAAAAACCCTTCGCTGGCAGTCGAAAATAAAAAAGACGAAGTGAAGAGGAGGAGAGCTGCGATTATTTATGCATTGCGGTAAATGGAAGCACAGGTAAACAAGAGGATCGCGGACAGAAGCCAGCGGAACAGGATCAACAGCGCAAAGGGTCAGCGGAGCGTGGTGTCTCTCAGGTTTCGGGCCTCGGGTAGGTGTCATAAAACACCCAAGAAATGGAACCCAAAATTATGCGTAATATAAATCTGAATAATGGAAATTTTCAAGCAGTTGGTTGGAAAACTGCGCGAATAATGAACTATGATCTGGCCTGACGAGCACATGATGCGGATTAGCAAACATAATACACAGGTAAGCTACCTGCGGGTATGACAAATAGTTTAAATATATATATGATATGGCATGAAGAGAATGTTTTATGATCAGAAATAACGTGAATATATTTAAAAATTTTTTGGATGACTTTATATTTATTGTATAAACATTTAAATTATATCATAATATTTGATTTAAGCAATCAATTAATTAATCAATTTAAGTTTTAAAGAGACTCTGAGATCTTCCACTTAGTGCAATTTATTATTTATAGATCTTTTATATATTATCAAAATCACTTCGAAATATAAATTACTTTTTCGCAAATATCTTTTATGGTATTTCCATTTATAGATTAAACACTTTTTTATCAAATTGATAAGACTTGAGGAATGTAGGTATTTCCTAACCTGCTCAACAATTGCGAATGGCTTTCAGGTTGTCACATGGCAGCACGAATACCTCATTTACTCACCCATTCATTCAGTTATTTAGTGATAAGCAACTGAATATGGATTTGTGACTCAGTGGGGGAAGACTCACCTTAGCTTTGGTTTTGTTTACGATTTTGCGATATAGAAACTTGTACATAGCACGAGAACAATTGCAGCAACGGCAACAACAAACACCAAACTCTGCTCACGTTTTCACTCGACGAGAAGATTTCTACATCAATTTGACACGCACGATCTTAATTAATTGAGTAAAGAACAATAACAACAAGCGAATTTAGTTAATTAAACAATATTTTCGATATTGGTTCCGATTTTGAACGCACTGCGTCTCATATATCGGCAGTCGGTTTTTGTCTGTCCGTTATCTGTCTGCCTGTCGGTCCGTCAGTCGGTCTGTCTTTGGTTTGTGGTGTCTGCCGCGCGAAACGTCATCGATGACTAAGCGACGGAGTGAGCGAGCTGTAAGCGATGAGGGCAGCGTCTTTTGAAAATTTTTGCATGCGGCATCACAGGAGCGGCACGCAGGTAAATACTAAAATAGGCTCTTAGATTTAGCGATTTTGTTTGTATACTAATTTCGAGAAAATGTTTCAGCATTAATCTGCATGATTTTTTGGGTAAAATAATAATGTATATAATGATTAAAGTTAATGGTCTTAACTATATATTTAGAAATATATGTGCCCCATATACCAAATATATATCTGTTAGTAAAATTATTATTTAACTGTAATATTTTACCACTACAATATTTCATACATTTCTTTTTATTTATCGCACTAAAGCTTCCCCTAAGTGCGCTCCTGTTTTTCAGTATTGTTTACAGTTGCTTTTTGATGCCGCCAAATACAGTTGCTCCCACGTTGTTTTGTCCGAAGCAACAAAAGCAACAATACAATAAGCTAATGTCAACGAAAAGTTCAAAAGCTGGGCACACTTTAAGTTAACGGTAGTTTTTATTGACGCTTGCATTGTGGACGGTGTCATAGAATGCCAATGGAAACATTGGACGTCAGAATAATAAGAGAGAGAGAAGCGTCGAAGTCATTAAAAACTATCAAATAAATTTAACAACAAAATAAACTCCAACTAGCAAATTAGTCGTGGCAAAATGTGAACAAACTAATTAGCCATAACGAACAGATGGAAGAAAATGGAAACGAGAACGAAAACGCGAATCAAAGGGGAAGAGCAGGTGCGGCGATGCCCTCGTTGGGTGCTTTGACATTTGCAATGGCCAAAGGTGAGTGAGACAGAAGGAATGATGACGATGAAGAGATAAGAAATGAGTTTTTTTTTGTTTTTAACATACCTGAATCTCAAGTAAAAGCTCCTGTTTTTTTCTGCGCAGCTCAATCACCAGCTTTTGCTGCTCCGGTGTCAATTCTGCAAGAATAAAACATAATTCTTAAGCATCGTAGTTGCTGCTGCAGTTGATTTGGTTAATTGGAACAGCGACATTCCACTTACACACACACGAGAGCACAAGCGCACGTAAACAATACACACCCACCAGCACAAATACACACATACACGCATACATATATTATTTTTCATGCACATACAAGCTGCACTGGCAACATACGTATGCGTACGAGCGAGACAAAAGATGCTGACAAATCAATAGAAATACAACAATTGTGCGCATGTTATTGTTGTTGTTTTTTGATGATGTTTCACAACGGGCTGTCTAGATGTATTAATTTGTTTATTAGTTTAATGCATTAACGGGATTAATTCAATTGAAGGCCAGTTTAATAGACGCACAAACACATGCACACACATACACACGCACATCCACACACGACACGCACACGCCTACAATCAGCGTCGCTTGTTGCTTCAACACTTTTCGTGTGGCCTTTTCGCCCCACCCGCTAGCAATTTGCATTTAGCATTCACACAATTTCACTTCAATTGCAGCTTAAACTAATCTTTATTGCCGACGACCGTCTGGTTGAGCTTCTTTGTTTTATTGTTTACTCATTGCCCATTGCGTCGTGTTTACCTGGCATTGAGAATTCACTGCGCCCCTTGGATATCGCACCGTACGATCTGTTGTCGAAATTGTCCATTGCGCTTATCATTGTGGCGGGCACTGTAATCACACACGCACACACGTTGCACTAGTTTAACATATTTTGTAACTTTTAGATATTTGCTAACTTTTTCATTTATTAAACACAATTAAATTTATCATAAACAAATCAACACAAAAAATTCTTTCGCCTTTTTCTTTCCCACTAGGGATGAGCCGAATAGCGATGCCTAGGGATGGCCAAATCGATGTATCGTAAGCAGAAGTGATGCCACACTGTCGAAAATGCACTTAGGTAACCATACATATATTTAAACATTATTTTGACTAGTATTTAGATTTAACAGATTTTACAACTTTTGTTGTCAATATTGTATTTTATGTCACTTTGTGTTTGTTACACTTCACATTTTGCATTAGCAATTCGATATTGTTTCTTAGCAATGTAACAGAGGGAGCACATTAAATTAACAGAGTTGCTCCTCTGACACGCATTGAAACCTCATAAGTAAAAGCTTTGCGGTGTAACTGTTACGCGCTACCTAACTGTCTCGTGACGGCGGCACACCAAAATAACGCTCCTCACTAACCGAGACTGACTGCAAAGGCACTGAAGCGACTTCGGATTTCTAGAAATTTCCAAATATTTTCTTAGCGTAGTCAACAGAGCAACGCCAGGTAACGGAATTAAGCGTAAATCGAACACTGCTGACACTCTGCGGACCAGTGAGTGCGAGTATCAATCATATTTTAATACAGAAAATACGCAATAGAAACAGCAACAGCGCCATGGCCAAGTGGGGAGAAGGAGATCCACGCTGGATTGTTGAGGAACGACCCGATGCGACCAATGTGAACAATTGGCATTGGACGGAAAAGAATGCGACGCCCTGGTCCAAGGAGCGGCTGACACAGTTGTTCATTGACTTTAAAATAGGTATTGATTTTGCTATTCCAATTACAGTAAAAATTCTAACCTTAATTTCATGTTAATTTCGCACTGTAAATGGAGAACAGTTCAAAGTGACATCGAGTGCGTAGTGAAAAGTGTGGATGAGTGCACCGGCGAGGCGACGGTCAATAATCGCAAGGGTAAACTGATATTCTTCTACGATTGGGAATTGGTGCTGAAGTGGTCTGGCCGGCTGCTAAACAACAGCAAAGTGAGCCACAATGGCAAGCTTACCATACCGAATTTGTCCGAGGAGAACAATCTGGAGGATGTGGAAATAACGGTTACCATTGACGAGTCTAACAACGAGTCGGAGACACTCAAACAATTCATGTACAATGTGGGTCGTGAGCAAATTCGCAAACAGCTGGGCGTATACATCAAGGAACTAAAGGAGGAGTATTCAAAGAACTTGATACTACCAAAAAAGGATGCCAATAGCAGTGATTCCACAGCAGTCGAGGCTAAGGATGCCAACAACGCTAAGATTGCGGTACAGAAGCCTGCGTCGCAGGTCGCCACGGCTGGCGCGGCCATTTCCTCCTCCAATAACAATACAACGAGCAGGCCCGTGGGTTGCAAGCTGGACGTACGCTCGCTCACCATGACCGAGGAGTTCCATTGCAATGCCAATGATCTGTACAATGCACTAACAAAGGCCGAAATGGTCACTGCATTTACGCGTGCGCCCGCCAAAGTGGACGCCGTACGCGGCGGCGAGTGAGCATCAATTATAGTTTCATCCTAATGCCAATTCCAAATGACATTTTATTTGAATTCACAGATTTGTACTCTACGGCGGCAACGTGCATGGCAAGTTCGAAGAGCTGGTGCCCGAGAAGAAGATACAACAAAGCTGGCGTCTGAAAAACTGGGCTTCTGGCCACTATTCGAATGTGATCATTGAACTGGAGGAAACTGTAAGTAAAAGGGTCAACATGGAAATAAGAAACTTGTGTTCTCTAAGCTTTCTTGAACTATTCCTCCAATTGTTGTAGGCAACTCTCTGATTAGCCGTAGAAAGACTAATAGCAATAGATGGTTACTATAGGAAGGCAATATACAGATTTAAATGCATTCCTAAAGTTAAGTGATAGTTAAAAAGTATTTTATAAATTATAAGCATAAATAGGAACACAATTTTATAATCTAAAAAAGTTGGACAGAAAAGGGACATTTTATTTGAGTATATTAAATTGATTTTACATCAAGATCTGAAGCACTTCATATTACAGAGAGCAGAACAAAAGAAATCATTTATTGCGAATTATAGAAAGCATTGTCAATGCGCCTTAAGCATGTGTCGACCTTTCTCACAGACAAAGTAGAATGTTTTCTTGCAATCTTCATCGTTCATATGGTTGCCTGGCCATCCGGGCAGTATCACACACTTTTCATTGTCCTTGACATTGTTCGGCTCGCCTCGCTGCCATTGGAGAAACTTTGCCTTTTCACCAGTTGTTGCCGAGGTGAACTCGCCGTTTTTAGCCAAGCTGTTAATGTCCAGCCAATAATAGGTTTTATGTAAATTTGCCTTCAGGGCATCGTATTCGAATTTATTCTGCGGGCTCGCCAGGTGCGCACCCATTAGGCGGCATCTCTCAGCGGCATCAAACCAGCTTAAAGGCAGTTGGTTCTCTATGAAATAGTATTTGGCACCGATTTTCTGAAATGGTCTCATATCACTGAGACTTTCGACCATATTTGTCATGGCTTCTTCAAATGCATCAAACTTTTCAAGCAGCAAACGTTCAATTTGTTCGAATTTACTTATAAATTCCGATTTCTCATTCATATTACAGCCCTCCACCTGCCGCTGTAGCACCCTGGTGTGGTCCAATACAGGCTTAACTATCCTGAAGCAATATCGACCACAATCATTTTCTAGTTGTATTGAATTCTCGCAAACCTGCTGATAGAGACAATTTCAATTTAATATATATATATTCTCAGGCTTAACTTACCTCATTGCTCCTTCGCATCGCGATAATCGGAATTAAAATTCCAATTAAAAAGATTATTGCTAGAGGAAAGTTTGTGCTGATCATTGCAAACCCTTTCGCCATCTGAAACACCCAGACAATTAACATGTTGATTAAACTAGTCAATTGACTAAACTCAGCAAAAATGTGTTTCAAAGGGCATTTTGGCTTGGTGCCAAAGTATGTAACATGATGGAGCTATCAATTCTAAAAAACCTAAAGTCTAGAACTTTGATATAGAAGAACTTGTTGAATACAAAATCTGTTAGATCTAAAAATCAGGAGTTTCTTTTCGATAAACATATGTATTACAAACACAGGTATATATTAAGTTCGCATGTCTGATTGATCAGTATCATCTATTTGATCATTTCTACTTGCATAATGCAGTAAATTCTATTCTCGCTGATAGAAATGTATATTGTGCAAATGCCAGTTCATGGTTCAGATTATTTGCTGCCGATCACCGCTATATCTATCAATCTATACTCTATATTGAGTCCATTTGGGCTTGTTATATTTATTATATTAATAATTATTATATAAATTGTTTTGCAGTCGTCGACCACGAAGTTGACGCTTAATCAGACTGGTATTCCCGCCTCCGAGTACACAGGGATGAAGTCAAACTGGTATCGATACTACTGGGTCAGCATAAAGCAGACGTTCGGCTTCGGGGCCTCCTGGCCACTGGGCCAGTCCTAAATGCTAATCATTCGAGTTCAATTCAAACGCGCTGCAAATTGATTTTCACCATCTTTTTAGCTATAATTTCTGCGCGGCTGCTTGCCGACAGCACTCTGTTAACACTTAAATATGCTATTTAATTAAATATATATAGACGGATACACTGTTCGACAGTAGCATCAGCATCAGCATCAGCAGCAGTAACAATACAACAAATTATGTCATTTAGTCATGTTCAAGCTAAGGCACACACTCGACATGGACACATAACTTGTAAATGGCGAAATAAACGAAACATCTTAATGAACTTCAATGCGATTTTTATTTTATTAACCTCAAAAACGCTTCTATAAATTGGTATAGATTGAGATAGTCGTGATAACTAAATTTAAATGAAAAGCATTTATTTTAGTTCATTTATTATCGGAGCTTAAACTTAACCAAATCGAAACATGAAATCCATCAAGCATCGGTGGTTCAGTGGTAGAATGCTCGCCTGCCACGCGGGCGGCCCGGGTTCGATTCCCGGCCGATGCACACCTATCTTTTTTATTTTTTAAATAAATCCTTCATGCCTTTGCGTTTTATATTTAACATTTCTTAAAGAACGAACATATAACTTATCATTAAACAAACTTTAAATTCTTTAAAGTTTATTTAGAGTTTTGATTTTCGTATGCATTGACCTGCTTATATGCAGACTCCTTTTGTGATCCGAAGCGAATTCCACTTCTTTGAAGCAATATCTTCCATAAATCCATCCTGACTCCTTACTATCATAGATGGGATTATTTTAAGCTGCTGAATCAAGACAATAAAGTTAAAGTTAGCTTTTGTTTTCCGAATTGAAATTTCTTTTAGGAACCACTAACACAGCAACTAGCCTAGCCATGAATCTATGGAATTCATGTTTTTTCAATTTAGAAATTGAAAATCGAGTTATTTTAGAGCTTCTTCAAAATCTAGCTTAAACCGATCACTGAGTGCAACAAGCATCGGTGGTTCAGTGGTAGAATGCTCGCCTGCCACGCGGGCGGCCCGGGTTCGATTCCCGGCCGATGCATATTTATAATTTTTTTTTTCAATTTTCTAAATATTAAAGTAGAAATAATATTTTATATTAATTTTATTTTACTTAAATAGAAGAATCGACGTTGTACTGTATACAGCATACAGCATACAGCATACAGGGTACAGCATACAGCATACAGCATACAGCATACAGCACACAGCATACAGCATACAGCATACAGGGTACAGCATACAGCATACAGCATACAGCATACAGCATACAGCATACAGCATACAGCATACAGCATACAGCATACAGCATACAGCATACAGCATACAGCATACAGCATACAGCATACAGCATACAGCATATAGCATATAGCATATAGCATACAGCATACAGCATACAGCATACAGCATACAGCATACAGCATACAGCATACAGCATACAGCATACAGCATACAGCATACAGCATACAGCATACAACATACAGCATACAGCATACAGCATACAGCATACAGCATACAGCATACAGCATACAGCATACAGCATACAGCATACAGCATACAGCATACAGCATACAGCATACAGCATACAGCATACAGCATACAGCATACAGCATACAGCATACAGCATACAGCATACAGCATACAGCATACAGCATACAGCATACAGCATACAGCATACAGCATACAGCATACAGCATACAGCATACAGCATACAGCATACAGCATACAGCATACAGCATACAGCATACAGCATACAGCATACAGCATACAGCATACAGCATACAGCATACAGCATACAGCATACAGCATACAGCATACAGCATACAGCATACAGCATACAGCATACAGCATACAGCATACAGCATACAGCATACAGCATACAGCATACAGCATACAGCATACAGCATACAGCATACAGCATACAGCATACAGCATACAGCATACAGCATACAGCATACAGCATACAGCATACAGCATACAGCATACAGCATACAGCATACAGCATACAGCATACAGCATACAGCATACAGCATACAGCATACAGCATACAGCATACAGCATACAGCATACAGCATACAGCATACAGCATACAGCATACAGCATACAGCATACAGCATACAGCATACAGCATACAGCATACAGCATACAGCATACAGCATACAGCATACAGCATACAGCATACAGCATACAGCATACAGCATACAGCATACAGCATACAGCATACAGCATACAGCATACAGCATACAGCATACAGCATACAGCATACAGCATACAGCATACAGCATACAGCATACAGCATACAGCATACAGCATACAGCATACAGCATACAGCATACAGCATACAGCATACAGCATACAGCATACAGCATACAGCATACAGCATACAGCATACAGCATACAGCATACAGCATACAGCATACAGCATACAGCATACAGCATACAGCATACAGCATACAGCATACAGCATACAGCATACAGCATACAGCATACAGCATACAGCATACAGCATACAGCATACAGCATACAGCATACAGCATACAGCATACAGCATACAGCATACAGCATACAGCATACAGCATACAGCATACAGCATACAGCATACAGCATACAGCATACAGCATACAGCATACAGCATACAGCATACAGCATACAGCATACAGCATACAGCATACAGCATACAGCATACAGCATACAGCATACAGCATACAGCATACAGCATACAGCATACAGCATACAGCATACAGCATACAGCATACAGCATACAGCATACAGCCATACAGCATACAGCATACAGCATACAGCATACAGCATACAGCATACAGCATACAGCATACAGCATACAGCATACAGCATACAGCATACAGCATACAGCATACAGCATACGCATACAGCATACAGCATACAGCATACAGCATACAGCATACAGCATACAGCATACAGCATACAGCATACAGCATACAGCATACAGCATACAGCATACGCATACAGCATACAGCATACAGCATACAGCATACAGCATACAGCATACAGCATACAGCATACAGCATACAGCATACAGCATACAGCATACAGCATACAGCATACAGCATACAGGCATACAGCATACAGCATACAGCATACAGCATACAGCATACAGCATACAGCATACAGCATACAGCATACAGCATACATACATATATACATCAAATTAAATTGTTTAGTTTTTTAAGATTTAACAAACTGCAAAAGTCAAGCATCGGTGGTTCAGTGGTAGAATGCTCGCCTGCCACGCGGGCGGCCCGGGTTCGATTCCCGGCCGATGCACATCTAATTTTTTTTATTATACCCTGATCCCATTAAAAATGGGAAATCAGGGTATAATGGTTTTGTGCAAATGTATGTAACAGGCAGAAGGAGGCGTGGCAGACCCCATAAAGTATATATATTCTTGATCAGGACGACAAGCCGAGTCGATTGAGCCCTGTCCGTCTGTCTGTCTGTCCGTCTGTCCGTCTGTCCGTCTGTCCGTCCGTCCGTCTGTCCGTCTGTCCGTATGTGTGAACGCGTGGATCTCAGCATCTATAAGAGCTAGAGACTTGAAATTTTTTTTGTAGGTCCGTGTATAGCACGCGCAGGTCAAGTTTGTTTCAAATATTCGATAACTATTCGCATTTAATTGTTATCGAATAAAAACATTATTGAAATGCAGTAAATAAATTATATCTCGAACGTCTTAAGAGCTAGAGCTTCCAAATTTTGTATTTAGTCTTATGTATATTTTATGCAATTTTGATTTTTGTTGGATTTTGGATACCGGCTCCAAATTCCCCCAAATTCTTAGAATTTAAGTTAAGTTGGAACTATGGCCATTATGTCAAGACGTTTGCATCTCAACCAAGCCAATAGGATATATAGATCATATGCTGAAAATTTCATTAAAATCCATTAAGTAAAACAGAAGTTATTAAACAAAACGTTTGGCCAATTTGCAAAAGCACATGTCAGCAGCGCCACGCGCACGCATTTTTCCTATTCTTTTCTATTCCAAGAATTGAAATTGCGATTGAATTGTGCTGAATTATTAGCTGCTACTTATGTTCAAATTTGCAACGTCTCGAATAAGAAGGGCAGTGGCTGCGTTGGTAGAGGCTCCGCTCGTATGCAGCTTGGTCCGGGTTCGAGACCAGTGAAGATGAAATGTTTTTTATTGTTCTATTTTTTTTTTAGTTATGAAGTGGCGGTGTTGGTAGAGTTTGTGCACGTTGCGCAAATAATCCGGGTTCGAAACCTGGTCTCACAATGTCAATTTTTATTTGTTTTCTTTTTTTTTAATACTCGATACAAACTACGGAAAATATTAAAAAACTCAAAGGACTGGGATCAGGGTATCTCCTAGTCGGGCACCCCGACTAGAGCTTTCTTACTTGTTTTTTTAATAAATATTTCATGCATTTTTCACCTTTTTTTATGTGTTATGTTTCATTTGTTTTTAAAGATCAGCTTTTTAGAGTTGTGTTTATTTTTATGTTTATACTTATACAGATTATTGAATTGGTATGCATATGTCATCAGTTCTCTAATTACTGGATTACTGAAAGCCAGAATAGTAAAGTCCATGAATACAGTTATTTATTTTAAGAAGAAAATTTATTTTCGGCATATTGCTGAATGCTTAAGTGTGAAAGTTTTTAAGCTCGATTTATAGAAGCATCGGTGGTTCAGTGGTAGAATGCTCGCCTGCCACGCGGGCGGCCCGGGTTCGATTCCCGGCCGATGCATAAGCTATTTTTTTTATTATATAAGGTTTGAATTAATTAATTTTTTAATGGAAAATAGTTGATTGTTTAAACAGGTGGATTCAAACCAATAGATCTATGGAAAGTTTTTTCCTTTATAAAATTTACTGAATCCCTGAAGCCTCATGGATTTTCCGTCTTATGGGTGCTCAAATGCATCTGATAGTCCTTAAAGCTGTTGCCCTTAAAAGCTGTACAGGTCGAACACTCGTAGATGAACTTGCCTGGATGTTTTCCTGTCTTTACGATGTGTTTGCGCAGATTGTCGAAGCTGCTGCACTGGAAGTCGCAATGGGGACATTTATGGGGCTTCTCTCCGGTATGTCGGCGCATGTGACGATTGAGGTGACCTTTGACTCGCGCTTTGAACTCGCACTGATCGCACGCGAACCATTTGCCACTCTCAGCCAGCTCTAGGTCACTCGAATGCGATTTGAGGTGCCTGCAAAAGAGTTGAGATCATTTTTGAGTCGGCGACCAGAGATGGGTCGGGTGAGAAAACTGTTAAGTATTCGCACACTGCGAGGCCATATTTAAAATCTTCGGCTTGATTAGACGTTAAATTCCAGTGGCGGCTGTCGCCCGAGCAACGCAGCCAGGAACTAATTGCTAATTTCGCATTCGAATCGCACGCTCGAAATCAAAATGCGAAATACGAGTAAGTTGGCAAAGTCGCGGCTTGCGAATTGCCAACGACTTTTTGGCATGGCTAAAGGATGCCACCGATCTGTACCGGTGGCGGTTGCGACCGAATGCCCGTCCACACAGATGGAGGAGATCTGTTTTGTAAACAGCGGCAAAGCACATTCGCAAATAATCGCTGGCATGGGTTTGGTCGCTGGACAAGCGCTGTGCGCTCTTACTAAAGCTAATTTTATAAATCAATTATTAACTATTTAACTCATTAATTAACGAATAATATCGAGCTTTGTCTGTGAAATGTTGAGACTGTCTTTCGCTTTCTATTCATATTGAACAATTCGATTGGGGGGAATCCCTCATAGCGCTCTGCTCTCGCCGATTGCTTAACCCATATGCCCAACTGGAACGTAGCGATACACGACTGAAGGGTGCTCACAGTTACGCGCCTTCAATTACGCTGCCCGATGCCGGGATCGAGCTTACGAGGTGAGCTCTGCACCCCCTCCCAGTGTTCCCAGAAGCAAAGCGAATCGAGGCCTGCGGCCGACGCTCATTTGTTGCTGCTGTTGCTGCTGTTGCTGCTGGTGTGCTGTTGTCCACTCCCCTTATCAGCTACTGTCCGAACCGAGGACTCACAATTAATTGCCAATGTTCTGCGTGGTTGCCGAATTGGAATCTGTGTGAAATCTCAGGCGCACGGCTCGATCCGGCAGCGAGCGCAGCTTATGCGCATTCGGTAGGCTTAATTAGCGGCAAGTAATGTTTGCCGCTGTTGCAGTTGCAGTTGCCGTTGCAGTTGCAGCTTTGCAGCTTGTTGCTTGCTGCTTCGTGCTTGCCAGCAAGTTGTAGGAGTTACCTTCTTCTGTTGCCCCTGCCCCCACCCAACATACACGGACCCCGCCCACGCCCAGGCGTCGCTTTGAGCTGCGTCCAGCAATGCCGACAACGCGTCGAACGTCCAAAACGAGACCGAAACTGCGATGCGTTTTGGTCAGCCTTTGAATTCCTGTACAGACCGCGCTTCTCCTTCTCTCTCTCTCTCCCTCTCTTTGATAGCTAATTGAAGATCTCGACTGCCAGTTAAGCACATCACAGCTGAGTATCTGTCTCACTCTCTTCCTCCTCTTCTCCTTGCCTCTCTCTCTCTCTCCCTCGCTCTGCTGATTTTTGTTCCGCGACAATTTGCAGTGCAAAACAAACAATTTTTAATGAACTCAGCTAAATAGTTGTTCGACCGGACAGGTCAAGTTTTACACAGATTAATATATATATATACATATATATATATATAGATATATATACAGAACTTTATAAAATCTTTCTAAAACTAATTGAACGCCAATGCGTGTTGAGTTTCAAATTCAAAATCTGCATTTCTAGCAACGCCACATTCTTGAGCCGAAATTTTGATCAAATTTTAATTTGTAATTAAATGGCATAGCTTTAGTAATAGTTTCATATATAAGTGAACTCAATAACTTAAATATCTGCTGAAATATGGCTATCGGTAATAGTATCTCTACTGTTGGGTCACCCCAAATTTTTGTTAATTCTCATATTTTGCGCCTGAGCATTTGCTTGATTATGTATTGACTGTGCTCCAACAGTACTCATTTATAATTAAGAATAAATAACAAATTAAAATTATTTTTTATATTTAATATATTAGTTAATTATATTTAATATAATAAATCAAAGAAAGCAGAAAGACTTAAGTTGTTTCAGGCTAAACAAAATGAGCCAAAATGATGCAATAGAATGTGCCAATAGAAATTTGGCCAGCTCGGCTCAATATTAAATATTCAAAATCTGAGCCTTATGAACAAAAGATACAAAAGCTGTTACCGCCATCAAAGCGATGCGTTCACAAGGCTCCAAGTTCAAGACGACAAAAAGCGTTTATACTAAAACTTGAATGTATTCAGCATGTGTGTGTGTGTGTGTATGTGTGTGTGGGGCGGACAGCTGCACAGTGGCAAGCAACAGTGGCAGTGGCAGTGGCAGTGGCAGCAATTGCCTCAGACTCTGCTGACTGCTCGAATGCAGATCGATGCTGTCGATGCACAGGCCCAAGAGAGGAAGGTAGGAGGCAGTTGCAGTTGCAGTTGGAGCTGGAGCTGGAGCTGCTGCGGCCGCTTCATACTCAAATGGCCATTGGAGAGCCTTGGAAATATTACAAGAATTCAATGCGCATATCAAAGGCGATCGATAAGTCACGATTCTGTGGTACGACTCGGTTGACTCTCAGCCTCCTGCTACCTCCTGCTCGAGCAGCTCGTTGACTGCGATTGGCATTGGCCAGCTCAACAGCTTCTTGCGGCTGCTGCCTCTGCTGCTGCTGCTGCTGCTGTTGTTGTTGCTTTCATCAATTTATGCAATTGCAGTTCAAAGTCTGCAATTATGGATGACATTTTTGCTCTTGTTGCTTTTTTTATTGCCATTTCCATTTGCTTGTTCGCTTTTTTGTGTTTCTCTTAAAGAAATTCAAATTCGTGTAGAAAAAGTCGCTCGTTTATTTTGTGCGCCTTGGCAATTGTTTTGGACTTCATTGGCAAATCCTGATTAGCATTTTGTAGATTAGTAATAGCGCTCTAACCTGGCATTCGCAGTGGGACCCGACCTCGCCCTATCGAATAACGATTGCCAATGCGAATTGAACTCGATTTTATTTAATCTTTCGCGTATATAACAAGTTAATTATGATGAGCTCACGGGCAAAGATGTTTATATATGCTTAATATATTTTAAATATTTGCCAGAGAAATTTTAAATAGTAAGCAAATTGTTTTTATAGGCTCAACTTCTTCTGATGATATTATATACATATATACAATATGCAATAATCGATAACTTTTGCAATGTTTCTAATATCATCTAAGAGCGTTCTCAAACTTCAGTTCTTACTCGCTTAGCTAACACTCTTAAAGATTTTAATTTTATATCATATATATCTATCTTACTGTGTCTTTTTAAGACACAGAGTAACCACAGAGTCTTACCACTACAAAATCGATATAAGCTTTGGTTTATGACAGGGTATATCCTAGTCGGGCACTCCCAACTGAAGCATACTTACTTATTTTGCAAGCAATAAGCTGATAGAGACAGAGTAGTTAAGATAGAGTATAGTTAATGTGCATTTAAGAGACAATTCACGTCGATTTATCGATTAATTAACCTATCGATAACTTGATGAAGCAACTTCAAATATGATTAACTGTAAGCTGAGCACAATGTACTGCAGTCAAAGCACAAAGTAACCCAAGGCAAACAAATACAAATGCTAAGATACTCTAAGATATCGATATATATCAATATATGCTTAGAGAACTGTAATACTTGATCTGAAATACATCGATTAACGCACTCACCGCTTCAGGTGCAGCTCACTCTTGCCCACGTAGCTGCAGTTCTCGCGTTCACATTTGTGCGTGCCCTGTGAGTGGGACTTCAGATGGATTTTGAGGCCCTCCGGCGTGAGACCGGCGAAGGAGCAGTCCTTGTGGGGGCAAGGGAATTGCCGCTTCGGCGTGGCATGGCTCATCTCGTGCAGTTTAAGTGAATATCTGAAAAATGTAAAAATTAAAGTCTGATTAAAGAACAGTTGGAAATGCAAATGAGAGTGGAGCTGGGGCCAATCCGTGTGACACTCTACGTCACATTGTTTGCTTTTATTTTTCATGTTTTGCATTTTATTAGAAATTTTTTTGTAATTACATTAAATCAAAGCAAAAGTAATTCGCAGCAAAGTCACGTCGCCCGTCAGACAGTCGGCACGTTCAATGGCTGCGGATACGGGACAGAGGCACAAGCCTGAAGCCGAAGCCGAAGCCGGACCTGCACCCAGGCCACGTCCACTCCAAAAAGGACCGAGCACACTACTCGTCGCTCTAGTAGACCCAAATGCAAACTCGTTGCCAAAAACTTTTGTGCACATCAATTACGGATGCTAATTAATCGAAACAGCTGAGAGAAGTCGTCGTCGTCGTCGTCGTCGTGTGGGACTCTATTGGCTTTAAAAGTGTCCAGCATTTGTCTCTTGTGATGAAATATATTGGGCAAAACTTGTCAAGGAAGTTAAGCAGAGATTTTATAGCAATTAGCAGATATATTCACTTCAAGTACTGAAAAAGGTTCTTCATATAAAAGTAGTCAGAACAGAAATTTAAAACGACAAACTTTAGATAATAGTGAAACTAAAGCGAAATTGTTTTGATTTAAAGTATCTTGAAGAGAAAAATAATGCAAATAACGATTGGGAGGGAAGAGCTGCACTTACTAGTAACAATCATTGTATTTAATCAGTTATCGATATTTATCGATTACATAGAACTGTTGATTTATTCCATAAAAATTGCTATTTGATTATGAATCAGCCAAAAGCTGTTGAAATTGAGTGTAGCTTTGAAGTCATAAGGCTTAATGAGCATGGGAAGTCATCATTTGGGATAGATAAAGATTATAGAGATCAAATTCAAGAATCAAATTCTGGCTAAATTCATGTAAATAATATATTGATGAAAAAGAAAACTCGATTTTTAATTTATCTAAAGCTTAAAAAAAGTAAAAGATAAAAAAGCTATAAAAGATATTATGTTTTGAATTTATTTAAAATTTAAGCTGTAGTAAAAAAAGTAAAAGATAAAAAGTAGCTATAACTTTGCTCGAAAGTTATTTCCAAAATAATGCCAATAATTCCCAAAATTAGAATTAAAGAAGCTTAGAAGAAGTATAGGTGTCTTATATAATCAGATGGCATAGCGTAATGGAGTAAACGAGATTAAAATGTATTGAGAGAGAGACAGCATTAAGAACTCGAATGAACGCGACGGCATTAATATGAGTGCAATGCAGACAAGTTGGGCTGTATAAACAGGGGGTCGGTGGGGGTGGGGGTAGCTGTGTGGGTGCAAGGGTGACATTTAACGGTAATTTCCGGCTACGATACTTCTGTAGTGGCATCAAGTTTTCTCTGGCTGGCAGCCAGATAAGCAAATGGAGCTAAGGTGTTGGGCACTTCCCTAATTACACATGGCCCACGCCACGCCCAATGCCAAACAACTAATTTCACATGCAGCACAGGGCGAGCCATCAAAATCCAGCTAATGTCGCACAAGCGAACAACAACTTGCAACTGAAAAGACGGCACAAGACTTACGTACCAATTACATGAAAGTTGGACAAGAAATGGGCAAAGTGGGCGGGCGGGCCCTTCGACTGGGAGGAGTGGCAAAGTTGAGCACATCCTTGTGACTGACACCGGAAGCAGTCGCTGCAGTCGCTGCTGACTAACACCCGCGGCACACAAAACTTCAGCAGGATCCGGGACAAGCGAGACACGACGACAACGTACAGCAGCAAGAGAGACTGTCATAAATATTTATGCGAGTTTTGGGAACAACAATGCCAGCGCAACAACATTGACTGTGCCACGGCCAAAATCGCAGGCGAACCCATACCAAGCGACACATGCGATTGTCTAAGACGTTCCACAAATACAGAGGGAGAGTGAGCGAGAGAGAGAGAGACGTGGCACCTTCGCATGCAGCTGACAATGAGCAGCAGGATACATTTGCACCTGCACCTGCACCCGCAACATGTTTGCTCAGCGTCTTGAGCTTCCTGCAGCGGGGCATCTTCAGCTGCTGCCTCGCCCGCCTCTAATGGATGGCGTGTGCAAAAGTTGACACAACACCGCCAACAGCCAAAGCCAGCCAACAGCTGCTGCTCGACTCGATTCCCACAGCTTTGAAGTCAGCCAAACCACCCACCGAGCCACCGAGCCACCGAGCCACCAGACTGCAGAACAAAAGGGCAAAGTTTTCGTCGCCAGGCGTGAAACGTTTCGTCAACTAATCGCAACGTAGCTACGTAACGGCATCGGAACTGCCACCCGCATCCGCATCAGCAACAGCAACAGCATCAGCATCAGCATCTGCATTCGCATGGGCGTGTTTAGCTCGAACTGCAGCTGCTTAAAGGCTTAAAGCAACGGCACATATCAGCAGCAAAATACAAGTTTGCCTCCTGCTAAGATCAGTTGCGACTTAAGCATGAAAACTTTTATTCTAATTACGCCATTGGCAGAGATGTGAGATCTATTTGCCTTAATCGCAGCAGCAGTTGAGGCAATTTGAGTCAGCCTAAGGTATCAAAGTCAGCTATCTTTATCTGATCAATTATATACATATATATATATATAATATATATATTTATATAGATTGGCTGAGTTTGCAATTTAATTCAATTTACTTTGCCGTAAAAAATATTTGAGTTAAAGCTGAACTAGCGCTTGAGTGGGGAAAAGTGGGAAAAACTGTGAGGCTGAAGCGAGAGAGTTAGAAAGAGATGGAGATGGAGGTAAGTAGAGATGTAGGTGGCAGCTTGGTAAAGTGCAGTTGAGGAAATAAAAGTTAATGTTATAACTGCAAAATACAAGGCAAGAACGAACGAAGCGAAAGATAATTTTGCTGCTGTTGTTGTTGCTGTTGCATCTAATTCGCTTTGCTTTTCTTTCAGCATTATGTTGCTGCTGCTGCTGGCGGCGCCATTATCCCACTGAATGGCAGCAGCAACAACTATTTACGGCAAACTCCTGCAGGTGAAATGGCATCCTTTTGTCAAGTCTCGAACGGCAGCGAACGCCTTGGACAAGCGTCGAGCAGCCCACCCTGTGCCACTCCTGGCACGCCCATCATCCTGTTTGTCGTTGTCAACGTCGTTGCTATTCAAACTCCATACAAACTGACATTTCACATATCAACGCCGTCTCCGCCCACGCGACGGCATCATTAGAAATGCATGACAATGTTGCCAGCACCATGGCACAGGTGGGCCACGCCCAGCCGCCCACTATTTGTTATACAACCATATCTCTGGCGCTGTTTTCCTTTTCCTGGCATTGTTGCCGCTAAGAGGAATTTAGATTAAAGATTGAAACTTTGTTAATGTCGCGCATTATTAAGAGGAATCTTTTCTACAATGGCCAAACGACGCATAAATTCCGAATGAGCAAAGCAAATTAACACTTTCAATATTCATGCGAATGGATGCGCTCTCATTAGCCAAGCAGTGCTTAAGTGTGTGTGGGAAGAGGCAGAAAGGTAAGTTGAAGACATCAGTTGGGGCATAGTCCTGAGTGGAATGGATCGAGTTAAGATCTAAACTTGATATGACAAACATTTTTTGCTATAGATCCAAATCATTTTTCTTGCCAATTATCGTTAGTTTTAGCCATTATTCAGCATAATCGATATCAAGCTTAAGTTATTTGAGCATATTTAGCTCAGCTTTCAGAACTAGCAAAGACTCAAAATGTCATCTAGGTAAGCGCAGGTGAAACATTACTTGGATAGCTGCATATTTATAACTCTTTAGACCTGTTTTTGGGCAGTGAATTAGAATACTTGAAGCAGAATAAGCTTATGTTTTAAATTTTATATTTTAAAAAAGAAAAATATTTTCAAAAATTTTAAAAATATTTTAATAAGTAAAATGAAGCTTATTTTTGAAGTATATATTTTTTGGTATTATTTTTTTAATATTATTATAATGTTAATATACATTATAATAGTTTAAAAAAATAATACCAAAAAATATATGTTAATATACATTATAATAATATTAAAAAAATAATACCAAAAAATATATACTTCAAAAATAAGCTTCATTTTACTTATTAAAATATTATTGAAATTTTTTTAAATATTTTTCTTTTTCAAAATATAAAATTTAAAGCATAAGCTTATTCTGCTTCAAGTATTATAATTTAAAAAATTTAAAAATTGCCAAATTGCATTATAAGTCTATATAATCAATTATATATATTTATATATATATATATATATATATTTTTTTTTTTAATAAGAAATGCTCACTAACAAAATGGAAATGCTGGAAATTCCTAAGCAATTTATTGTTGCATTGCGCTAATTAAAAATGCTGCGAACAATAAACTGAAACATGCCTCAGGAGTTGGTGCAATGCATCCGCAATATGTTGCCGCTGCTCATATGAAAATGTCATCCAATTTGCCATGGACCACATGCAAGACAACCCCACGCCGCCCGCGCAATAATGCCGAAATAGTTTGTGGGTCGGTGGGGGGTGTGGGCGGGTTGTTTGTGGCAAAGAAATGCAGCACGAGATGCGCTGCAAATGAGAATTGTTTTCAATTTTTGCGCGCATTTTGCATTAATTAAAAATACCAAGCGAAAAGCGATTGCTGCAAGTGCAAAATAAGTAACCAAAAATAACTCATTAAGTGCTGGACATTCCGGCTATATTGCCCCAAAGGACACACACGAACACACATGTGGCAGGACTGCAACTGGACCGGACACCCGCCACAAAGTATGCAATGCACTCGCAAATCAAGCCTGCGGATACGCCACGATAGGATGCATCTATGGCAGATAATGCTACAGCTACAGCTCCGACTCCCTTCAGCCCAAACCCTAATCCCGCATTAGTGCTTAGCCTTACTTTTGTTGCTGTATTTAGCATTTTGCGAACATGCAGATTACAGAATTTGTCTTCGGCATCTAAGGCTTAGCTTATGCCGCAGGAAAATTATATAATCTAATAAAAACTTATTTTTATATAGAAATTTCTTCAAGATTCTATAAAATATTTACAAAAATTAATCTCTATTTATAAATCTATAAATCTATAGCTAACGCAGCGAGTGACTCAACAAATGAAACATAAACTTCTCTATACTCTCGTCTATTGACCTTTTAAACGATTTTGGATACACCCAAACGCTAATATATAGAAATCTAGAAATAATATGAGCTGCTGCTCAAATTTTGAATTATGCTGTAGTATGAGTTTTTATAAAGATATAAAGTGCATATTTGATATGATATGATATGAACTCAACTGAACAGAGCCTTTAAGCTGTGTGTTGCGATTGGCTCCTGCTAGTCTTGCAGAGAGACTGAAAGCTTGCATTAGCCGAGTGCGAGAGTGACAACTATAGCTGTTGCTAAACGTAGTTCTGCTTGTTGCTGAGTGCAAGCGAGAGGGCTACTTATGCCCTTTGCATAGGTTCGCTATGATTTTTATTATTGAAGAGAATGTTACTAGAAATAGAGAGTTTGACAGAAGGCGTCTAAAAAGGCAATTGGTTCAGGACAGTTCAGACAGTTGCGACAGTTGGCAAAGTAAAATATATTATAATGGGCCATCATATATAGATGACTCGACCCGACATATATATCTGTTATGCCATGCTACCGGCATCCTCTTAATATTGCCAATGCTATGCCTCACAATGACAGTTTGCTGCTTGGTCATACGCGCTCTAGCCTTTCCACTAGCTAAGTGTATTTATTTTTGTCTGACTCACGGGATTACTGTCGGCATGGCATTAGTCTCGACAGATCCAAATCTGGGCATCCAATTACGCTTCGGCCATAACTAATCATAACTTGTTCAGTCTGCGCAGTGACGACGTCTGCGTAGCCATGGCCATATTCCGTAGTTGATGCGCGCTGCCAAGTTGCAACTAATTCCTTAAGCAAACATTAAGTTGAATTGCAGCGAGTCGCCGGAAGAGGCAAACGGATCTGAGACTGAGTCGAGCTGGGATAACTGAAGGCATAAAGCAAGCGAGCGACAGACAGAGACAGAGACAGAGACAGAAGCTGAGACTGAGACTGAGACTGGATGAGGCTGGCTGAGAGAGTTTTCCACTTTTCAAGTGATTATTTGAAAAATTTATTAAAATGCTCATTTGAAGTTATTGTCGGGCGCGCTTGATGTAGATACTTTGCTTTTACGACTAACGAGACCGAGTGGCCGGCAAGGAGTCGACTCGCAGATCAACTCGCAGACAGCTCAGTGAGAGCAAGAGAGATAGACAGCGAAAGAGAGACAGAGAGAGGGAGAGAGTGAGTGTGAGCCAGCAAAGTTTCAGCACGCCCCAGTCAAGCTAAGGACGCGACGTCGTCAGTCATGTCAACGGCGCAGCGCAGCGCAGCTCACTTCCGGAATTCCAGACTTGAACTAACTCAACTTTTACGGCTCTGCTCTGGCTGCTGCTAGGTCCTGTGCGCATACTTTGCCAGCATCAGCATCAGCATCAGTCTAAAGTTTGTGTCGTCGCCATCGTCGTCGTCGTCGTCGTTGGGCAATTCACTTTTATTGAAATGGCGTGCAATGTTCTGTTCTGTTTGGCTGGATACGGCATCGGATTCTTTTGGCTTGGCGCAGCGCTGCGCGAAGCGACGCGGCGCGGCTTGGCTTGGCTTCGTTTCGTTTTTCGCATTTCCAATTCGCTGTTGCTTCTTCATTTCTATTTGCTATACTCTTGCAGCGGGCATGCTCTTTTGAATATAAAGCAAGTCGCATCTTTTAGAAATTTAATAATCTTCTCTTAAGTTTTAAGCATATCATATATAGACTTTCTGTATATGGAAAGTATTTTTGACACAGCAAGTATTGTAGGAAGAACTTTTGATCCAAAACTATATATACATATATATTTATATACTTTTATATATTTTTTATATATTTTCATATACTTTATATTTTTGTTATATATTTTTCTATTTATTTGTTAAATATTTTTATATATATTTTATATATTTTTATATATATTTTATATATTTTTATATATTTTTTATATATTTTTTATATTTTTGTTATATATATTTTATATATTTTTAAAATATATTTTTTATATATTTTGTTCTATATTTTTTTCTATATTTTCATAATTTTTTCTATATATTTGCTATATATTTTTATATATATTTTATATATTTTTTAAATATATTTTTAATATATTTTTTTATATATTTTTATATATTTGTTAAATATTTTTATATTTTTTATATATATTTTTTATATATTTTGTTATATATTTTCATACATTTTTCTATATATTTGTTATATATTTTATATATTTTTAATATTTTTTTTTTTATATTTTTATATATTTTTTAAATACTTTTTGTAAATTTTTGTGATATATTTCTTACATATTTTTTATAAAATTTTGTATATATTTTTGGCATAGTAAATATAGTTTCTAGTGAGCGTATTGAATCTTCACCTAGCGCAGTTGAGGTTTGCCTTTCTTGTCTCTTTTATGTCTGCGCTTTTAGTTTATTTTATTTTGTATTCTAAGTCATTCCAATGCTGCATCATTCGCTGTCCGGGAGTTGATTCTGTTGATGGCACAAAGTGCAGTGCAATTCATTTTAATGGTAGCTCCCCAGACCCAGTGGCCGTGCCAGTGTGAGTCGCACCAGCTATGGCCCCACTCGTCGGTGTCCGGTCCAGCTATTCGTTCCATCACTTGAGAGTCAATTTCAGAGAACTTGATTTCCCATTTCCAATGGCGGCAGCAATCCGACGATTTAAGGGATTGGCATTCCTACATTCATTCATTTTTATGAATCTGCGAAATTGAGTCGGACATTGTTCGGCTTGCGGTCGGAGGCAGAGCAACACACACTAAGTGGAATGTGTTGTGGGCTGCCACTCGTCGTGGTAGCTGCCTCCAATTCCCAATCGCAGCTGCCCATGGTCATTGGCAAGCATTTGCCTGCCCGTCCCCCACTGCCACCGCCACTGCCACTGGCAGCCACATTCGAGTGTTTCCTACTTTTGTTGCTTGTGGCATCCACTCATGAGCATCACGTCTCAATGCATAACATAGTATATCAGTTCTCCTGCTACTGGTCTGAGCTTGCTTTGGCATCTGACTGAGCCTGATGGAAACTCAGTGCATTTGAGAAATATTTCTTGATATACAAACTGAATACAATTAGAAGCTGTTTCTCTATGAAATGCATAAAAATAACTTTGAATATATATAGCATGTCATCAAAGATATATATATCTATGGATATTTGTAGCCATTTGAGAAAAAACTGCGAACTATATTAAGTAAGATCTGTTTCTTAGTTGCATATCAAAATATTTGCTACAAATGTAATAAAATATTTATACTTTTGAATGTGCCACGCCCCAATTGTTGCAACATAAAATTAATATGCTTAAAAGTAAAGCTCAAATGTCAACTTTTCATTCATATATCTAAGAGCAGATCAATTTCTTTGCTGCTTACTATAAAACTGTAGAGCATATTCAATCCTCAATGGGAGCTGGTAACGTAGAGAACTTGAGTTGTTTGCAGGGCATACGCTTTTTGCCCATTGGCCACGCCTATAATGGGCGCAGCTATATAGTAGAATTGGGTTTTTGGATTAAATATTTCAAGTTGTCAGCTGTAAAATTGCTTTCAATAATAGTTTTTACACAATATATTATTTTGCAATTCTTCCAGTCTGGAGCTAGACTGGATCTACGTCTTTAAAAATCCCAATATTCTCTAAGTCTAGACTATGATTAAGCCGATGCTGATTAGGCAGATGCACATCGAGGCGAACTTAGAACCACATCAACAGATTTTTTTCTAGTTCTAAACGAGCTTCAAACTGGATTCTTCATTAATTTCAGCTAGGCAGCATTCGCTTTCAAATAGGTTTCTTTAACTCTTCGAGTTTACAGTTAATTGAATGTTGTTTATTAATTAATATAAATTATTAATTCCAATTAAAGAGAACTTACTTTTTGGCCAATATTTTGCCGCAAGTGCCACATTGAAACTTCTGCTTGGGCTTCGTTGTCGTCGTCTTTGTCGTGGTCTGCTTAGCTGTTGTCTGGGCGCCGTCTGGCTTCGTCTGTGCCCGCTGGCCATGCATGGTGGCCATGTGGTTCTTCAGATTGTGTCGCCTGGCGAACTTGGAGAGGCACTCGGCACACTCGAAGATGCGTTCGTTCGTGTGATTGCGCAGATGGGCACGCAGCGAGTGCTTGCGGAATTGCTTGGGGCAGAGCGGGCACTGCAGCAGCTCGTCCTTGCCAATGGAGGAGCCGCGTGTGTGAAAGAAGCGATGATAGAGCAGATCTGATTCGTATTGCGCACTGAAGCCGCACTGATCGCAGTGCCAGGACTTCGCGAGCGACACTGAACGAGCCGACGCAGCCGCCGAGGTCGAGGCAATGGGCTGGCAGCTGCGCGTGTGCCGCCCCAGCGCCTGGGCCGACTGGAAGCTGCCGCCACAGCTGAGACAGGCATGATTGTCCATGGGATGTGCTTCGCTGCGATGCTGAATCAGCGCTTGGGACGTCTCAAAGCTCAGCTGACAGCTCACACATTGGCTGCTCGCACGCCGCTCCTTGGAGCTCGTCGTCGGCTGCGCAGCCTCATCCTCCAGCACCTCGCGCAGCATGTGCTCAATTTCCATTTCGGGCGGCGGTTGCTTGGGGCTGCTGCGTTTGCGACTGCTCCGACGATTCGCATGCTGCTTGTGCTGCATGAGATTGCGATGCCGGCGAGCAGCCAGCGGCGTCTCGAACTCCAGATGACAAAGGGCGCAATAATATTTGGCCAGACGATGTTTGTGCTTCTCGTGGCGCTGCAGTGCCACGCGCGATCTTTGGGCAGCTCCGCAAATCTGGCAGCGGAAGCGACACTGGTACTCGTCCGAGGCGCTGCCCGTGGCCACGACTCCCGCATGTTCCGAGGCGAAATGCCGCCGCAGCTGCAGATTGTAGAGAAAGCTGGCGCTGCACTCGGAGCAGCTCAGAAGACGCCGCTGAGCAATGCAAACGGGCACCGATCGATTGATCGCAAAGAGCACTTCCTTGTGCGTGTTGCCCAGCAGATGCTGCCACATCTCCTCGTTGCTGTCGCACTCGAACTGGCAGTAGCTGCACCAGAAAGTGCCGCCAAGTCGCTCGGTCAGCTCCACATGAGCAGACGAGCGCCAATGAGCCTGAAAGTCAGAGAGAAGTCAAACAAAAGTGCGTTGGTCGGGTATGCCAGACTAGCAGATACCTGGCAGCATCTCACCTGAAAAGTTTGCTCTGTGTTGGCATAGAATCGACAGGGCAGGCACTGGAAGGGCGCCTGTCGCACAATGCTGCCCATGTGCTCCAGGATGGCGTGCAGCGAGCTCTGGCTGCGCAGCTGCTGCTGCTGCTGCAGGCGTCGATAGTGATAGTGGGAGATCAGGTGCTTGCCCATGAGATGGCGCGCCATGCTGTGGCGGCACAGTTCGCAGCGCAAGAGATTGGCACGACGACGACGACGTCGATGCAGTTGCTCCGTGGCAGGAGCCGGCGGCTGGGCAAAGTTCTTGTTGAGCGTCAGATTGGCGGACTCGAGGTTGGCCTGCTCCAATTGGCACTCAGCATCCGCGCGCCGCAGATGGTAGCCGCTGCGCAGATGCTGATCGTAGTTGAGGCGCGTCTTGAGCCGGCGACAACAGATGTTGCACCAGTAGCTGGCGTCCGGCTGCTGCAGCTTGGTCAGATCAATGTTTTCCCGATACTCCAGCTGCTTGCTGCCCGGCACCCACTTGCCGTGCGTGTGCTCGGCGGGTGGATGGTCGTGCGCATCCTCGGGCGGCTCATCCCAGCTGGGCGAGATGCGTTCCAGATGCGTGTGGCGCAGCTGTGGTCGGTGCTCCGGCTTCCACTTGCCACCTGTGTGCGTGGCAGGCACAGTCGGCGGCGAGTGGCGTCGCCCATCGTAATCTTCATCGGGATCAGGATCGTGATCATGTTCTTGGTCCTGCTCCTGCTCCTGCTCGTGCATCTGATCTGCTTCGTCATCATCGCCATCAAAGTCGTCGGGCTCCTCGTCATCCTCCTCTTCCTCGCTCGCCTCTGGTGAGTGCACGAACTTAAGCGGCTTAAAGTCGGATTCCTCATGTTCCCGCACCGCCTTCAGCAGTGGATCGGAGCAGTTGCTGGATGAATGCCAGTTGTGCTCCTCCTTGGCGCCACGTTCGGGCCGTGCACCCGTCTTGCCGCCCGTCGAGACGCTCTGCAGCTGCAGTGAGGAAAAGAAGACATCAGCGCCCAGCTCGTAGGTAGGATCATAAGCCTCGGTCAGGGCCTTGGACGTCTTGCCCCCATGGCTGGCCGTCGTCTTGCGCAAGTAACTGCTCGGCGCCTCCGGCTCTGCGAAGTGAAAGCCATCGTAGCTGTGCTCCAAATTGGCGCGACTTATGATTGCAGACGCCGCATGCTCCGCACCAGAAGCTGTCGTTGTCCTGGCCACCATTGGCTTCTCCTTGCGCTCGTTGCCGGCAATGCTCAGACAATTCTGCTTGCGATGATCTATGTATTTGCGCAGACCCACAATCGTCGCATTGCACTTGATGCACAGGTGCGTGTCCTCCAGATCGTCCGATTCCGAGTTCATCTTTGCGAGCTGCAAAGGAATGCAGAGTTATCAAATGGGTTAAGGATCTAACTTGATATTTGCTATATATGGGAATATAGGAATATATATAGGACTAATCTAGACGATTATAATTTGTTCTTAAGCTTATGAATCTCTAGTTAATTAGTCTAAAACAACACACGTTATCCCTGTCTGCCCGGGCTCTATTTTGATTGAGTGCGTGATTTATTGAGATCTCGTCGAAGCAGTCTTCATGCCAAAAGCAACTAAGCGCTTTGGCCGCTGGTTCTTTGGGCAATCGGTAAATAAACAGAGCTGGACAGGATTGCATCGCCAGCCTGGCAGGGTCATATTTCAAGCCCAGTTTATTCATTGGCAGCATACGAGCAGCCAATCCTGCTGCCCACTCCCAGTGGCATCAACATCACCACAGCGTTGACATGCCGGCGCGCCTGTGCCACGCAGTGAATGTTCCTGCTACCTCGTACCGTGCCCTTGCTCCCGTTCCCGTTCCCGTTCCCGATTCCGTTCCGTTGCCGTTGCCGTTGCCGTTTCTGTTTTGTGTTCCTGTTTATGTCCGTGTCCGCCTGTTGGCATTGCGGCCTGTCAGAAATGAAGTTTATTGCGTCTGTGTAGCGTACGTGTCGCGCTCTGTCTCCATCCCGCTCTCTCTCCCTCACTCGCGTACACACACTCTAGCTCTGACTCGCTCTTGCTCGCGCTGGTTACGCCTCGCGATGCTAACTGTAAAAGTGTCATTTCCGCCATATGTGAGCGCGATGAACGATGCGTCGCTGTCGACGCTGACGACGACGTCGACGCTGGCGCTATTGTTGTCGCTGTTAATAATTTCACAGTACAATTGCAGCAGCAGCAGCAGCAGCGACAGCAGTGGCAGCAGTTGGCAGTGGCTGCTGTTGGAATTTATACAAACGAGGCCCATGTCTGAGGTTAAATACGAAAAACATAACAATTCTCCCACCTACTCTCTGCCTCCCGCCCTCTCTCACTCTGTCTCGCTACATGTGCGTGGGCGGATGTCAAAGCATTTGGCGCTGCCGTTGATGATATGAATGTGAAACTGAATGTGAATGTGTTGGAATATAGAATACGAGCATTGGGCATGTGGAAACGCAGCAGCGATGCTTTCATCCGTCTAACGAGCCAACGACAAGGACAATATTGGGACCAGCCTGTTCTAAGTTGTTGTAGTTGTTGTTGTTGCTGCTGCTGTTGAGTGATAAACGCGCGTTTGTTTAACAATTAACGTGCCTGAAACACATGCACAGTTATTTAGAGAGCCTCTGTCTCTGTCCCACTCTGCTGCTTTCCCTTAAGTCAGCTAACTATTGTGACTCTTACCAATTTTTATATGCCTAATTAGTAGGCTGTCTAATTTTCAGCAGCCTGACAACACTTGTGTGTGTGTGTTGGAGCTGTGTGTCTGCGTGGGTGTCTTGTAATTCAAGATAATTGCTTATTACACATACAAATATTTACATCGCCTTCGGTGTGCGTTGTAGGCGTTTAAACAACTAATTGCCATCTAATTGCACACATCCTGCAATTTATTTGCCAAGAGCCAAACTCAAATTCACAGTGAAGACAAGACACACCTGGCGAGCTGCACACATCTGACTATTAGTAATAGGATTTGCTAGAAAAATAAAGATTTTAGGGCCGACACATTGTGGGCGTACCTAAGAAATATTGCATGATTATGTATAAATACATTTCTAATTTATAAAGATATTGTTTTCATTATATTCTATACTCATATTGCTCCTAGACTATTGTTTCGCTTTCATAATATTATATGACATACTTAGAAAGTGCTTATATAGAGAGTACTCTAGTGTCTAAGCAATAAGAAATTGCAATAATTATATATTTATAATATACTTGAATATTTTAAGTTCAACATTCATTTCTTAAGCAGCTTTCATGTCATTCATAAGCTTCCTTAAGTAATAGTTGACTCTATACATCTCAAAGAAACATTTGTTTCAAGAATTCCTAATTTTACGCTCAAAAGTATGCTACGATTTTTAAAAGAATTTTTTCTGAATTTTAACTCAGAGAAAAAGTTTAACAGCTTAGCAAAAATACATTTTGTGTAATTGTAATTAAAATCTATAAATTGGCTATGAAATTATTTATAATAAAAGCTTATTTTTTAAATTTATTATTTTAAATTTGATTTATAATTGAGTTTTATTTTTGTTTCTAAAAAATTAATTCAAATTATTTAAGTTAATTTTTTGTTAGAAAATTGTTAGAAATTATTTACTTACATGTATTTATTTTGTTGTTTATTAATTATTTTTTATATTAATATATTTTATTTTTTTTTCTAATTAAATTTTTTTTTTAATTTTTTATTTTAACATTAATTTTTATTATATAATTTTGTTTTATTTGTTTTTTTACTTTTTTAATTATATATTCATTTTATTATTTAGTTGCTTTATTTTATAATTCAATCAGTTTATCTGTTTTCTATAGCTAATATTTTAAAACAATAAATGATTGAGATGAATGCTTTATAAGTGCGAGTCCCTGCCACATGAGGCAATGCGAATGACGACAATGTGTGTAGCACATGAGTGGGCGGGTGGGCGTGTGTGTTGTTAGCGGCACATAGACAATCATAGAGCGCACTTACATTGAGGAATTAAATAATAAAAGCAGTTAAGAGCTGCACAAGCACAATTGTGCCATTATTTGCATTTGTGACAACGTCGACGAGGAGGACGTCGACGGCCAATGGCAACGGCAACGGCGCCCATCAACAACAATAAAACCAATAGCAAACAGCAGCAGCAGCAGCAGCAACAACAAAATAAGAACAACACACAACATTGTTGAGGCCATATCATCAGGAAAACAGAGCAAAGCGACAGGCTGGCAAATTCCAGGGACAATATGAACGAGAAATCCTCGCGTGGTTGTTTGATTCGAAAATTGAGTTTTAGCGGCGCAAATAAAAATAAAACTTAGAACAGCAACAGCTACAGCTACAACAACAAAAGCTTAACCATTAAAAAGGAGTTATCACCCAATTTAGCACCACAAGCGCGAAATAACACACACACACACATACACACACAGATACATGTGGCTGCAGAAGGTTGTGGAGCAGCGGGCTCTAACTCGACATGTTTGTGCAACCAACCCATCGGCGTCAGTTGAACACCAAATAGACATACTGTACAACATGGCATTTATGTCAAACCCAAGCGGTTCCATACAAATGGCTTGTGGGCGTATGGCATGAGGCAAGAGTTCTGCATGGTGAGAGGGCAACGTCAAACAGAGAAACAAAGATGTGTTTATGATTAGTTCGCTGCTCATATAAAGGATATTGAATTAAATATATAAAATTGTGAATTATTGCTAAATAAAATAAAGAAATCTTAGCGCTCGAGTATTTAAAATTCATTAGCAGAATATACAAAAATATTTAACATATTTTATCATAATAATTCAGCTTGAGCCTATGCTACATAGTTTAAGTAATCATTTAACATATTGGCCAAGCGCTTGGTGTCCTCCAGCTCGAGCGCGATTTGCCGCAGTTTGCTGCTGATGCTGCGCCCGTCATCCATAAAGTTGAAGAGCAGCTCCAGCAGGCGACCCTGGACCCAGTCGAACCAGTAATCCGTCTCCAGATTCTGCTCCATTTTCTGATGCGCCGCAAGGACTTTAATGCAGCTTTGCACTATCTCCAGCAGCAGGACATTCGAGTCAGTGAACTGACACTCTTCAGTGGCGCGCATATAGTGCTTGGTGTATTTAACGGTCATGTTGAGCAGCTCCCACATGTACATCTTGACCAACTCCGGCTTGAGCGTGGGATGGAAGACCCACGACACTATGGCATGGTTGCTCACGATATGCATTTTCATCAATTTGTCGGCCACAACCAACTTGATGTGCTCGTTGCTCGCCCACAGCTCAAACAAAGCGTTCAGCATGGCCATCTGATTGGCCTCGCTGGTGGCCAGCATCTGTTGGACAAACGCTTGGCTGAGTGGATATCCCAGCTGCTACTGCTCATTGAAACTCACCTTCAACACGGGCTGAAACTTGTTAAATATGGAAAAGATATGCGTAAAGGATTTGCAGCCCAAGTGCAGGAATGTATGCATCAGCACATTGATCTTCAGCCCATCTTCCAGCTCTGTGGAGGCTTCAATCAGACCGCCCAACAGCTCCGGTGCGCACTTGGCGCGCACCGCTTCCAGCAGGTGCTTGGCTAACCTCGCTCCAGGGAGCAGCTCATTGATATACTTGAAGTTCGGATCTGGCGAAGCGGGCAGCATCGCCGCAAACGTCGTCGGCACCAACTGCACAATGTGCTGGTGATAGCTGAGCCTGTGGAACAGCCACGAGTCGAGTCACTACATATAAGCCAGAGTCTAGAGTCTAGAATCTAGAATCTAGAGCCTAGATTATGTACAAATATATATTTATGTATGCTAGAACTGGAGCTCTATAAGCCTAGCATAGCTTTGCGGCTCTCAGTTTGTACGATTTTACGTGATCTGATTAACGATAATGATTCATAAACCTCTTAAGATAATTCCTATTAAGTAGAAAGAACTAAGCCTTATACTTGACTTAGTACCAATTATTTTAAGAACTCTCCCTATCTCTACCTAACATATCTCTCAATCTTCCCCTATCTCCCTTCGTCTCCTTTCGCCTTCCTCCAACTTTCTCTTCTCTCCCCCATCCCTCCTCCATCTTTCCCCTCTCTCATCTTTCCTCCTATCTCTCTCATCTCTATCGCTCTCTCCCTGCGTTTCTCCGCCTATCTCTTATCCTATCTCTTCTCTCTCTCCCATCTCTCTCTCTCTACCTCCAGCTCTCTCTCTCTCAATCTCTCTCCATCTCCCTTCCTTCCTCTATCTTCCTTCCTCTATCTTCCTTCCTCTATCTTCCTTCCTCTATCTTCCTTCCTCTATCTTCCTTCCTCTATCTTCCTTCCTCTATCTTCCTTCCTCTATCTTCCTTCCTCTATCTTCCTTCCTCTATCTTTCTTCCTCTATCTTTCTTCCTCTATCTTTCTTCCTCTATCTTTCTTCCTCTATCTTTCTTCCTCTATCTTTCTTCCTTCATCTTCCTTCCTCCAATTTCCTCCCTCCCCTTTCTCTTTGCCCCCAACTCTCTCCCTCTCTCCCTCCGTCTTCCTTACCCTATCGCTCTCTTTAACCCACTTCCTCTTTAAATTTCTCTTTCTCCATCTTTCTCTCCCTCTATCTCTACCTCCTCTCCCTCTTCTTCTGTCTATATTTCCGACCTCAAACTCGTATCATTTATATTACCCACCGCATACACTTCTTGAGTAGTTCGCGTACAAACATACTGCTGGGATGCAGTTCGGGCAGAGTGATGCAGTTCTCCCAATCCTGCCAGTTCCACTGGTAGCGAAAGTTGCTCAAGTGATGCGAAAACCAGTTGACAAACCGATCGAAGCTGGAGGCATTCATATTTTCCAGCTGCGTGTAGAGCATATCGGCAGCCTGGGCGACGACGCGTGGAAATTTATCGGGCACCAACTTGCAGAGCTCAATGATGAGAGCGCCATAGTTGATGGTCAGCAGCGGCGAGATGGGCAGCTGCAGCATCTGCCCTAAGAGCACCTCGATGATGCAGTGCTCCATGGGCAGCGTTGGCTTGGCCACGCAGTAGGCCATCAGGCGCTCGGCGCAGGTCTTGCGCTCCAAATGATGCAGCTGCACCGTCTCCATGATGTGCGCCTCGATGGCATGCCGCCCGATGTCCAGTTCGTCCGGCATGTGCATGTTCGGCGGAAAGTCGCTGACTTCGAAGAGGCGAAAGACCAGCCAGGGTCGCGGATAGGCCAGCGAGTCGTCCTCATGACGAGGCGGCTGCAGTGCGGGCAAGTGATGCTGCAGCGCGGTGCTCAAGGTGTCATCGAAGGCGGCATAGGGACGCAGCAGCTCCTTCTCGATCCAATTGTCGCGCAGCAGGCGCATGATCTGCAGCCACAACAGCTCCAGATACTCGTGCTGCGGCACATCGCTGTTGCTCCAGATGCGCAGCAGTCGAGCACTCTCTGTGCAGCTGCGCTCCTTCTTGATGTAGAGCTGCAGACGCTTGAGCAGCGCCTGCAGCGCCGTCTCCTTCTTCTCATACAACTCGCGTCCTATGAGCGGCAGCGCGCTGAGCACCAAATGCGCATAGAAATCGCGACGTCTTTGGGGCGAGCCCTCCTCCTCGCAGACGTCGGTCAAGGCGTTGAGTAGCTGCAGCATCGAGCCCACAGTCAACACGTTCGTATTGACCAGATCGCCCAGCAGCAGGACCAAGCTCTGCGCCTTCGTCCACTCGCCCTCGTGCAGCGACTTCAGCAGCTGCTGCATCAGGCAGTTGAGGCACTCGCCACCGAACTCGTAGTCCCGCACATTGACCAGGCCCACGAAGGTGGCATAGGCACCGCTCTGCATCGGATACTTTACGACGCACTCAATCAAAATCCTCAGTATATCCCATTTGTAGATGTGCAGCGTGTCCGTAACATAGTAGCTCAAGTCCTCGATGCGGCCCTGCACCGTGGCGCTGTTGTAGTCGCTCAGCTTCACCATCAGATTCTCAATGGTGCCCATGACCTCCTTGTGATCCGTGCGACGCGCAAACTTACTCGGACGCCCACTCACTTCCATGGGCTCCACCTCCTCCGGACTTTCATCGCGCCAACGTCGACGTGAATTCATGCTCACAATCAAATTAATTGATTCGATTAAATGAAAAATTGAAAATTACAATTTTATTAGCTCTGAACTAACTGCAGCAAGTTGAGAAGAGCGAATGGCTTTTGCTTGGCAATGTCAATTCTAATGCCAAACGAATTTCACAGCCTTCTACGAGTTTCATTGTTCTTTGTACTTGTCTTGAATTGGCTTTACTTAGGGTTAAATGTTAAGAACTATATATAAAGTTTTTAGAAATTGCAGTTTCATGAAAACTCTGTTCAGAGATTTTTATACTGAGTGATTCACATTTATGAACCTTGAATTTCTTAGTGCATTTCAATGAAATAATTCTACAAATTGTATGAATTTTATTATCTTTTATGAAATAGCTATTTAAATAAAAGAAGTAATGCCTCTTTATAATAGTAACATTGGTAACTTAACTTGGTCTTTAATAAAATGTTCCTTTCTTTCATACTGGCTGGACAGATTTTCTCAAGGCACAGATTGTCACTCGAGCTACATAAAATAATTTATTTGAGATGGTGTTTCATATAAGATCCACAAGTCAAATATTTAACTAGTAGTTGACAGGATTGATCATATATTTTACAAGCATATGTTTCTATAAGACTTAGTATAATTTCATGGAATTTACACTTACGTAGTATATATCTTATAATACTTATATCAATTAAAACTAATAGGCTAAGATAAAAAAGGCTTTGAAGTCTATACGCTTTAATAGCAAATAACATTAAAACACACAAATTTAAATATATTATTTAATTGCAAACAAATGAAAATGAAGAGTGCTCTAGTCGGAAGCGCTCGACTAAGAGATACCCCCACCCATAGACGAGCTGCTTTGTCAAAGATTATTGTTTCTATCTGCACAAATATATATAAAAATAGATGCGCACACACACACACACATATATATATATATAATTAAAAAATTTAAAAATATATTTTAAATAATTTTCTCTTCAACATTTATAAACTGTATAATATAAATAAAATTTGAATGACATCTACCTAAGGAATATATTTTAAATAAGGTCAACCCCTGAAATGATCGAACTTAATAACTAAATATCATAAAATGTGCAGTTTTATGGGAGAGCACGTTAAGAGTGCATATAAAATTGAGCTTGAGATGCTGCGGAAGCTGTGAGCGAGCAGGAATCAACAGGCGCAACGACAACTGCAACTTGACGAACGTCATCAAAAATTTAACGACGCTCTTATGAACGAACCAAATAAAAAAATTATATGCCACATAAAGCTGATGACTGATCCAGCCACAGATACTTGGCCGCCAGATCCCGGGCCAGGTAAACAAGCAAACTGTCTGGCATCATTATGGCCACAGCCAAAGCAAATGACACATGGATCGGCCAGCAGTCACTGGCGAGAGGCACATACAGAGAGAGAGAGAGAGAGAGAGAGAGAGAGCGTGAGAGAGGGAGACAGTTGCGACAATAAAACAGCCACAAAAGCCGCCTTGCAGCTGATGGAGAGAGAAATCAAGAAATGAAATAATAATAAATTCTGCATTGCTAAATTACTCGAGGTCGTAAAAGAAAATATGCAAATCGATTGCATTCATTTCATAATGATGAAAATAATTTTTGTTTTTCGAAACGATCGACAAAGGCAACGGCAACGGCAACGGCAACGGCAACGGCGCAGTTGGAATTGCTAACATGAATGAATATTCATAAAGTTTCGACTTGAGATTATGAGTGAAAGGAAAGTGTTTTTGCTGATGAGAATAGCTAGACTTGTAGTGCTGACTGTGCTAAATGGAATGAGCCTGATTATGCCAAGACTAACCAAATTCATTTTGAGTTGTGAGCTCTGATAGTGTGGAGTATTTAGACTTAGAATTCTTGCTATATCTACAGAAGCGACTGAGAGCCTTTTGCTTGTTTTGGTATATAAATTACTATTACTATATGACATTGTTACTTTCATACTTTCTCTACTTTTAGTGCCACATTCATAAACCTTTGCAAGTAAATCCAAGCTGAACTCAGAGGCGAAACTGTTGGACCTGAAAAACTTGTTAACGATTATACTTTCCTTAGGCTTGGGTAAACATAATAGATCAACTTTTAAGAACTGTTCGATAAAGTCCTTTACACACAACCAATACTCAAGTCGGATACATAAAAGCTCCAGGCTCAAGTTCATATTACATTTTGATTACTTTTTATGAAATATATCATAATGGAATTAATCAAAATTCGTTTCTTAACTATATATTAGCTAAATATCATAGTAACTTGGTTTGCACTTTAGAAGGATCTTTAGGCTACTCAGATCGCTGCATTTCGAATATTTCAGAGGCTTTTGGATCTATAGAAATCAAATATACATATATATAAATAAACTCAAATATATATATATATATATATATATATATATATATATATATATAAATATAAATGTATACAGAATTAAGCTAGAAGTCTTCCAAGCATTAGCTGGAAGATCAGTTAATCTATCTTAGCGAGCCAAACTCTGTTCTCTAGATTAAAACAGATCTCTAGATCTATAACAATAATATGATTTAAAGAAGCAAATCCATATGTTGTTTAAGCATTTTTTTTTGGATTTCAAGCAAAGGTAAATGCAGCTCGCCGACCAAATAACAATTTGTGAGCAATTCGCAAGCGATCAACTGACAATATGTCATTGATGGACTGATCGAGCCATTAGCATTCAAAATAAAGTCAATAAGAGACCGACCGTGAAATCGAACTGAGAAGTTATGAACAGGAATTAACTGCAAATCGTTAACAATAACTCAGCGCGAACTGGGATTGGGGTGGGATGGAGTGGAGGCTAGTTTGGATTTGCATTCGAGGCGAGGATCTTCGCAGTTACATTTTATGTGCATATTTCACGCCAGTCCCGGTCCCAGTCGCAGTCGCAGGTCCAGGTCCAGGCAAAGGCGATCGTAGCACTGTCTGTTCGCGGCCCACGACGAATTCATAAAGTATCTCGCACTTTTTAATGATTTCTGAGTTACAAGCTAAGCCGAGAGTTGGAACTGAGAGTGGATTGAGACCGGCTGGCAGCGCCGCTCGCAGCAGGTACAATGCAACAATTTGGCGGCAACTTATGACAGCGCAGCGATCGCAAATAAACTCAAATGGCGGCCGCACCAACTGATCCTGATCTCAGTTAGCTCCAAACTCCAAGCTTCCAGCTTTAGTGTGGGGCGCGAGAATTTATGCGGCTCTTTGGCAGCGACGACGTCGTTGTTGTTATCGTCGTCGTCGCTGTTCTTGTTGCTGTTGTTGTTGGCGCTGTTGCGGCGGCTTTCGTGCGCACTTAAATTATGAATATTACCAAATGGGTCAATTCGAAATAAATAAGCAAACGTTGCGGGCCTGGCAATGCCTGGCAATACCGCCAAATAGAGTTGTCTCTGTCGCAATTTCTCATTGAGCTGTCGTTCGACTCGATCGTCGTCCAGGGAACAAGCCCCAGCCGACATGGCATTGGGCGGCGTTTAATATCGCTCATGCATCTGGTAATCTATGCGCAATTAGCTGCGTACATCAGATTTAGTGTTCTGATTGCATTTCCCTGTCTACCCGCTCTCCCATCTTTCTCCTTTTCTCTCTCTTTCTAGTCGCTTTTTGATCATAAATATGATATGAGTTTTTTGTATCCCAGCCACTAAATATTTAAGACACGAGCGGAAATCTATTTAATTTCCCAATAAATGCAAAATTTGTGTCGGCAATCGAGGAGAGCGAGATATGGCCTAAGCTGAAACAGGAATTTACTGAGCAATTCAAAGTGAATAACATGAGCTAAGTATTATTGTCAGATCTAAAGTTAAGGTAAGGCAATGAGGCTGTTGCAATTGATATATACATATTTATAGATATATACGTGGAAGTGTATTTAGGTAGGAGATTTATAGGATTTAGAAAATGCAATGCTTAACAAGGCCTACTCCGAAGGCGACTTTAAAGCACAGAGATATTTATGTAGAAGAGTATTTTATAGATAAATACAAGAAATTTATTAAAATTGAAATTTTAACTCTTTTCGTTATTTTTAAATCTTTTTAAAGTCGCATATAACTCTAAGAAATTATTAAATAAAATATTTGCCTAGTATTATTAAGCAATAAATATAAATAATTCCAGTTCTATTTCGTACTCTATTTACTCAGCGCTGTAAAGTGCACCAAAATCCAAATATATTCATAGCAGCTGTATGGATGGTCATTATCTGCAGATTTTTAACATATTTCTAATGGTCTTAAATCATTTAAACGGTACCTCGCAGCATAGCGGATGGATCGTAAAACGGAAATGTTTGTAGTCGTCATTAGAGTCGTAAATTTCGGTAAACGCGCTTAAGTGATTTTCACACTAAAAACAGCGGGTCCCTTGGACTATACGAAATGGCTTGCCACAAGTCTCCCCCCTCTCCCTCTCAGACTCTCTCTCTCTCTCTCTCTCGCACAATGGCTTTATGCTCTCACATAAAATTAAGTTTTATGGACGCATATGAAGGAACACAGTTCAACAATTAAAGAACAATAAAAGCCACTTTGATGATAGCCTCCACTGGGATGCTGGATGCTGCCTCTCGTTCGCTCGCTCTCGGCTGATTCATTTACGACCGTCAACAGTTTTGACATCTGACAAGTCGGGTCAACAATGAGGTGCAACTGCAATCTGACGGTACGACAAATCTGTCACGCCTGCTCACCTGGCCCCGGGCCCCGGACTCGAGACGCTTGTTTATTGTCAAATGATGGCTGAGCTCGTTAAATTTGTAATTTTATGGGCTCGTTAAACCTTAGGACACGGCGAGCAGCCTCAATGGCATTCGGTGTTTATTTAATTAGAACTTTTCATGCGACTCTCCCGCTTGAAGGTGCGAAGTGCGATGCTATCCTTAACATTTGGGAGCCATGAGCTATGCATATATGTCTTATGTGTGTTTCCATATAGCAGCGCAGTCAATTAGCCTGGCTGACGCCCACTTGGCCGAGTTGCTGATACAAATTTATGGCATTTGGCAACTTAAAACAAAGCGCAGCTTCAGCAACAAATTGTGATATT